TTCGCCGTGCTCGAGTGCCCCAACATCAAGCTGAAGCGGCCGAGCTGGGTGCACATGCCCTCGGCTATGACCGTTTACGCGCTGGTGGTGGTGTCCTACTTCCTCATCACCGGAGGTGAGGCCGGGGCGGGCGGTGTGAGCAGGAGACCCCGCTTACGGAGTAGCTCTTCCTCTGCTGTGGAAGAGGAAGCTCAGCTTTTCCAGCTGCTTGCCGCTGCCCCGGGTAGCAAAGCCACTGCTGCTGACCCCTTGTCCGGCTCCAAATCGGTCTTAAAACACGAACCTCGGCCAACGCCGAGCGTCCCTGCGGTATTAGGGTAGTTCTCCTGTTTGCTCTCAAAGGTGATGCTTACTTTTCTCCCCACAGGGATTATCTATGACGTGATTGTGGAGCCTCCCAGCGTGGGGTCGATGACAGATGAGCACGGGCATCAGAGGCCGGTGGCGTTCTTGGCATACAGGTAGGAGCAAGGCTCTGCCCCTGCAAGCGAGGTGGTGCAGAGCACAAGTGGATAAACCTGTCTTAGGGAGCTGTGCATCCACTTTTTTTTGAGCTTTCTGTGCAGGGCAGGATCTATTCTGTATTAATCCTTGGTTTGCAAGTATTTAAAAAAAAACACAAACCAACAGTATTGAAATCAATGGAAATAAAAGAACTCAGCCCTTCTAAAACTTATAAAAATGAAAAGTTTTGAACTCTTTCTTCCAAAGTCTTGCTATTAAAATTGGGTTTTATAGTGGACATGGACTCATTTGATCATATTTCATAGCAACATACATAAAGTTTGTGAAACTTTTGAATCTGGCCTTTTAAACTGTAGTGTAATTGGGACTCTTGTGTCTGAGGGTGGGGAACAGTTATAAATGTGTAACAACAGTGTCGTCTTTGAGCCTTTTGCTTCTATTACTGAAAATAAGCTTGAGCCTGCTTAGTAATGAGTTGGTCTGAAGAGGGTTAAATCTACATTTGTAACTGTGTTTTTTATGTGTGTGGTAACAAATAATGGTTTTTATTAAATACCAAAAAAGTTCTTTGAATCTGTGAGGTCTGTGACGTACCTCTTGTATGGATTTTGGCTTGGACTATACGTAGAATGTGTCTCAGACTGGCTTGGATTGTTGCAATGTAGATGAATTAGGCTACTGCAGGGAGTTGATAGCACTTTGGTACAAGTCAGTGAAAACAACATGAAAGAAGAAGAAATTGTTTGTTTTCAGGATGTGAGACAATAATGATAATCTTCATTTCTGTATTAGCATCCACAGTAATTTCATCCATGCCAGCTTTACGAGGTTGCTAGTATTGCGCAGTGACTGTGGGAAGCAGGAGACTCGTGATCCAGGTGCAATATTCTTTCTGCATCTCAGCTTCTCCTCTTTCCATCTAGAGCTTTGTAAGAAGGGAGTCAGGCCGTGTGGACTGACCGAGAGCTGGGACGCTTTCAGGCTGAGTTCCCACAATCGATACATGCAGGCTTAGCGAGCCGGTAGCAAAACATACTGCAGACAAGAACCGCTTTTGCTGTGTGCTGGAACCAGTACCTGTGCTGACATAGTGCTTTGAGTGGGATGTGTACCAACCGTAGGATTCAGGCATTGCTGCCTAAACATCGGGATGGAAATAAGACTTGGAAAGCTCATTGGCCCAGGAGTCACGATTCCATGCCCTGAGTCGTCTGTGAAACCAGTTGCTACTTTGGACTAGGTATTTCTGAAAACTGATGATCTTGTGTGCTAGCCGTTAGTATGCACTATTATGTGTAAAACCACTAGTATGCTTGACTGGTCACCTTGCAGATTATCAGTCCCAGAAATAAATTACATATTAAAGCCTTGATGTAATTGGGTAATGTCAATTTCCACACCTACTTCTTGTTAGAAAGTCAGCCATTAAGGTTAATAATCCTGTGTATTTGTAGAGCTAGAGCAGGTTGAGTAGATGGAGTGTGAAATGTGAATAGTTTCTTTAAAACTAATCTTTTTCTGACACTCTCTTCTTCCCTTCCCCCCTTTTAATTTTTTTCTTTAGAGTAAATGGGCAATATATTATGGAAGGGCTCGCGTCCAGCTTCCTCTTCACAATGGGTGGCCTAGGATTCATAATTCTGGATCGATCCAATGCACCAAATATCCCCAAGCTGAATAGGTTTCTTCTGCTCTTTATTGGATTTGTCAGTGTGCTTTTGAGCTTCTTCATGGCCAGAGTTTTCATGAGGATGAAATTACCGTAAGTGATTTAAAACTCTTTCAGCTATTCTTCTCTTTTGTGGCTCATGTGTGCCTATGTTAAATCTAAAAGTAACAGAAAGTACAGTGAGGTATGCTAAAGATTTGTAGCTTGTCTATGAGTTGCTTTTTTCAATGCTTTTTTGGAACAAACTACCTTGAATGAGGTGGGATGCTTTTGAGGCCAGCTACTGTAAGATTGTGCTGTGGTTGAAAAAAGGTGACAGTTCCTGGTATGTCAGAAGATACGATTAGCGAGTCTGACTTGCAGTGACTTTTAAGTTAGACTGAGTATGTACTGGTCAGGTAAAAGTAATTACAAGGTAGGGCTTTGAGGAAAAAGCAAGTGTCAAAGAATGAAGAAAGGCAAATGAGTTCTTTATAGTGACAGTGTATATGAAAGATCATAACTAGAAGAACTGATGGCAGCAGCAATGAGTGTTCTGAAACATCCAAAGCAGTCCTAAAGTAAAGACGATGTCTCAGGTTTTTTTTGTTGCTGAAAGACTCAGTGTAACATTGAAGCATAAAATATATGTGACATTTTTATACATCTATATTCACAGATCAAAAAGGAGGAAAGGTCTGGAGCTTTCAGGCTCTGCAAAATCCAAATGCAGGATTTTCAAGCTTTTTCCCTCCCTCTTTATTTCTTGGTCTGTCGGTTTCATTTAGAACAACTGAAACCTGATGTTTGGAGGTACTGGTAGTTAATTTTTGGAGTAGCTCCATGAGGTGTTGACTTAGCAATGACAGTCATTCCTCCTTCCTTAAATTTTTTTTTTTTTAACCTCTGCAGTGTAGTTAAAAATTTTGTTTCATAAGACAGAAGGGATCATTTCCCTGACAGCAGGTAGCTGGGTAGGAACCTGCTTTATATTTTCTTGCTTCATCAATGCTGTAATTCCTTGTTTCATTAAATACATATGTATCTTAACAGTTCTCTTTCTTAAACTCATTAAAGAAACAGGGCTTCAGAGAAATGGAAGAGAAAAAGAGACCAGAGCTGTGCTGAGTGCCAGAAAATGTTGGGTTATACTGAATATCTCAACACTAGTAGTTTGTGTAAAGGATACAAATAAAGAACCTTTCATAGGGTGTAACCTGGGCTTCAAAAATTCCAAACAATTACCGAAGCTGGATTGAGAATAGTCTAACCCATTTTCAGTGTTCATTGAAGAAAATCAGCTGAGGAAGGAGTGTATAGTTAAGCTGACCAGTTTGTACCTTGGACAGGATTTATTGTTTTAAACAGCCTTGATCAGGAGAGTTTTTGGCAGTCTGAAGTTTTTGTTTTAAGACCATATGTCTCTGGATTTTTGAGGAATGCTGCCTGTGTTTGCTAACTTTTTTTCTAACTTAAATTTTTTCTGTAGGGGCTACTTGATGGGTTAGTGCCTCTTGTGATGTATGAAAGCCTGAGCTGAATTTACTCCTCTTCACGAAGTGTTTAAGAAGAAGCAGCAAGAAACAAATTCCATAGTCACCATCAACAGGAAAGAGACCTAGCCATGAGAAACAACTAGGGAAAGGGTGCTTTCTCTGCAAACAAACTCTCACTACCAATGGCTGATCTGTAGTTTTGAAGCAAATGTTTTACCATTTCTGTTTTAGAGCTTTGAAAAGAGTTGCCTAGCTGGGTTTTTCTCTATTTCGTACTGAGTTGGGATATAAGAGAACCTATCTTTAGCTCTACCTGAAATGAGTATTAGCCATTGGCTTGACAGTTCTTTGTTGCAGGTCTGTCTCTTCCTTATGTGGGACAATTATCTGTGTGAATCAGAGAAGAAACACCCGAAATGTTTCTTTCCAAGTTATAATTAGAAAATTAGTAACTGGATGCTTTACGGTCAAAATAGAATGTGTCTGAAATTATTTCAAAGGCAACTTTTGCCTTGATATTAACGGTTCTATGTGAGCAAATCCAGACATGCACTGGGAAAGGCAAACTGTATGAATGTGCATTTCTTTTTGAAAAGGTGTACGAAAGGAGCCAAATAAAACTTATTTTCTACAAAATTATTTTACTTCTATGCAGTTTCTAAAGCTTTTTCTTGTGTGCATGGCCTGTTCTATATCCAGGCTTGAGTTGTCATACCATACCATGACCACATAATTTCAGCTTTATTTTTCACTATTGGATAGTTTGGGTTTTTTTTTTAAATATCAGAGACAAGAAACCTCATATTTTCCATGAACTTGTACTGTATCCAAACAACATACTGTTATCAGTAGCTGAGAAAACTTACTTCTGAAGCTGCTGCTTTTTTGTGCGAGAGGTGAGGCACTGACTTATCTTGTGTTCATGTTAAAAGATTGAATGTTACTGTCGCCTTTCATCGAAGTAGTGTATTGCATTCTAGGGGAAGGAAAGATCCCTCTAAATCTCCATAAATGTCTTTTTTGCAAGCCATATGTGTTTGAAGCGCTATTTTCATCTGTATAATAATTGTCAGTGAGAAATGTTGTTTATTCCCATAATTGTGAAGTAGGTATTACTGTTCACATACTTAATCAAATTTCTGAGCTAGCTGTTAATCACCTGCCCTCAGGATATGTCACTTCCACTCTCTCCTTCTTGTATACAATGTGGCTTCTGCATTTGCTCATCTTGCATGTTTGTCATTAAGATTTAAGGTACCTTAAGCTGTTTTATGAGGCTCATAACTGCACAGTTTCCAGTCTTTTCAAAGCAGTTATCTTTTGGTTATGCTGGTTTTGGTGAGACGTGCTTACCTTCAACGGACAGAATTGATATTATGTAAGTAAATAACTGGATATATAAGTCAACTTTTTAATACATCTGAGAGGGAAGTCAAACTAGAAAGTCACTTCACTGAGTATAATTGAGATCCCTCTAGCTCACTACTTGTCCCACTGCGGTT